TAGAGAAAAATCTGCCAAGTTCTTTGCTCTACCATTCCAGTAGCCTCGTTCGTATAGGCTGCTTTTATGATGCGCTTTAAATCCCCACCGTGGCTCTGCTGGCTTAGTGGTGAAGAGGCGTGCTGCCAAGCCAAGCCAAAGGCACCAGGTTCAAATCCACCATCTGCTCCATGGGAGAAAGATGTGAATCACCCTTCTAGTGTGATTACTTCCTCTGAAAGCTCTCCAGAGGGTCAGTCCCAACTCTACTGTAAACAACAACACCACGTTCTTGTTACTCTGTGTTACTGAAGGGGACGATGTGAACTCGATCACACCACTGGTGAATGCTGGAGCTGGACTGGATTTCCGTTTCACAGGGCAGAGAACAAACTCAGGAGTCTGGTCCCCGGGTTTGAACCTCTCTGTCACTTCCTAACCCTGGGACCTTAGAAAGTCACCTCTCCGCCCTAAGCTTTCATTTCTTTTCCCCACCTTGTCTATAAATGGCAATAAATGACTCCTTGTCATAGAGGTTTGAAAAGAAGCTGCCTGTGTACGTGCAGAGCACTCAGAACACCGTGCAGGCTCAACCCAGCCAGCCACGTGCCTTTCCTGGGATTAGAAACGGTCAACATATTCCTCACAAAAGTGTCCCCCCCACATCCAACCCCAGGGGTCGCTTTCTGCCCATCATGCCCCAGGTGTCCACCTAGGGCTCTCAACTCCGGCGTGACTTGGAAAATTTCTTTGGGCTGTAGGTTTCCATTTTTTAAAACCCATCTCACTTTGAGCCAATTTTTATTTTGTTCACCTTGGCGTAGAGAGAAAAGATGAGGTTAGAATTTGGATGTATTGATTTCATGCATGGGGCCGTCTGCGGCTCCCTTAAAACATTTGGCCCACGATGTAATAACTACGACCACAGAGATTTCTATTTTTCTTCTTCTTCTTCTTTTTTTTTTTTTGAAGGGGTGTTAAAGCTTGTCCTTCAAGGTCAGAAGCAGCAGCATCTTCTGTGATTATAGTCTGAGACTAGACTGGACATTAAATGCGCATTGGGGTCAGTAGGCGGGGAGCACCTTGGGACGTCTTCTGTCGCGCTGATGACTCAGGATTGAAGCTCATCAACTGAATCACCTCTCACAATACCTTTTGTGTCTTAGGCTTCCAAGTTACTTTTCTGACAGCTCACTGTGAGGTGAACAGTTGCTGATTTTAAGTGAATGGGAAATACAATCAGGAGGCGAGACCGAGGGTGGACGGAGTAGGAGAGGAATTGACAGCCAGAAAAGAACCAGGCAAGACCTGTATTTATCCGAAGGTACAAATCCCTGACAGGGTTGTTATAGAGCACGCGTGATTATTTGACAAAAGGAAAATTCCATTAACTGGTTGGTGATCCGCCATCAGCTGCAGTCAAGAATCCCTCTGACTGATTTCCTTTCAACAGCGTGTGGCTGTCTCTATGCCCCGTGAGTCACGCTTTGCATATTCATTCAGTCAATTAGTCATTCTTAATCGAGCCCTTGCTGTATGCATGGAACGGTACAAGGGGCAATGGAGGGAATGAAGGGATGAATTAAACCTTCTATCAAGGTTACGTATGGGAGAAGGATGGGCGGTCTCCTCCAGTGTGATTAACTGCCTCTGAAAACTCGCGGGAGGGTCAGCTAGGAGTCAGTTCTGACTCTACAGTACACAATAACAACAACAACAACAGCATCAAGGAAACCATCATTGCGGTCAGGTAGGCAAGCTTATTGACCACGTAATTCACTTAGCAAATATTTATGAAAGCGTGGCATCCCTTGACAACTATCACAAGAGGACGGGCAGTTGGGGGCTGTTACAGGGCACTCAGCTGGTGAAGACACCCTTGGCAGCTTATTTGCCATTGAAAATGCCATTCAATTTGCTGACTGCGGCCTCCGTGAGTGTTGATTGTGGATCGTAGGAAGAAGAAACTGTTGACCCCTCCAGTCTTCTCAGGCTATCATGCAGTGATAAACCGCAGGGAGAAGTTTTATTATGTTGAGGTGCAGTCCATGTTCAAGGTCTCTGATCTTCAATGGCAAGTGCTTCGAGTCCTCCTTGCTTGCAGCAAGCCAGGCTATGCTGTCTGCGAGGCTCAGGTTGGTAATGAGCCTTCTTCCAATCCTAACACCAAGTTCTTCAGATAGTTCAGCAGCTCGGGTGATTTGCTCGACATACAGATTGAATCAAGCCTGCACTTTGATGTACCCTTCTCTCATTTGAAACCAGTCAGTATCCCCTGGTTCTGTTGGTCTATGTCCATGTTTCCCAGGAGCACAGTTACTCTGGAATTCCCACTTAAAATGTTATCTACATTTTTTTAAACCACACGACCAATGGCATTTTGTTTTTTAAATGTATGATGTCCTTCATGTTGTCCCTCACCGCTTCTGGTCTTCAGACATTCGTTTCCAGTGGATCAAAATCTATTGTTGAGATGGTCTCTAAATTCAGGTGGGATGTGTCCCAGGTAACACTTTGACTTTTTTTGATTGCTTTCAATTTCTTGAGCTCCAACTTGAGCATTCATATGCACAATTAATACCTATCCCACTGTCTCTCCTTGGCTTTGTTCTAATGGATGTTATTTATCTTCTCCATTGCCTCTTTCCACAGACAAAAGCTATCTTTGTATTCCATCTAGTGAGGTTCAGATGTATGTTGTTGTTGTTAGTTGCCATAGAGTCAAGTATGACTCATAGCAACCCTCTGAACAAAAGATCTGAACCCCGCTCTTTCCTGCACCATCCTTACACTTCCTGACACACAAGAGCCCACAGCAGCAGTCACCATGTTAATACACCTGGTTGAGGGTCTTCCTCTCCTTCGCCGACCCTCCACCATTTCCAACATCATGTCCTTCTCCAAGGAAGAGACCCTCCTAGCAACATGCCCAAAGTATGAGAGTAACATCATTCTTGCCTCCAAAGAGCACTCTGGCTGCACCCTCTCCAAGACATATCTGTTCATTCTCTTGGCCGTCCATGGAGTGCTCAGTGCTCTTCTGCAACACCACAGCTCAAAGGCATGAATTCTTCTTCTGTTGTCATGTACTTATAATAAATATATTTGTTGATTGAAAAACCCTGACATGTGATCTCCAGCATCATTTCTATCACTCTCGTTCCATTTTCTAACCACTGATCTTTGTCTCCAAGTTTTGCATTCTAGTCACCAGTAATTATCAATGCATCTTGATTGTCTCTTTGTTTGAGCTCTTCCAAACTGTATAATCATGTAAAAAGATTCCATTTCCTCATCGTTGGCATTCACATTTGTTGTTAGGTGTCATCAAGTCCATGCAGATTCGCAGTCAACTCTTTCACTTTAAATAGTAATCATATTAACTGGTTTTCATTGTGGATGCACGAACATTATCCTCTCCCTGAAAGTTCTGTATTTCAGGATAGATCCTAAAATGTTCTGTTGGCTCTTGAAGGCCGTACAATTCCTCTCCAATTTCTCATCCCCAACAGAGTAGACCATATAATTGGCCAAGTCCGAATGGCCGATACCAATCCATTTGATCCGACTAATGCCTGGAGTATTGATCTCTGTGTGCTCCATTTCCTTTTTGGTGACTTCCCATTCCTTCAATTCATAGTCCATATATTCCATGTTCCAGTTATCCATAGATCCATGGATCGCTGTAGACCTTCCTCATCATCACATCAAAGTCCTGAATGATTTTACTCCAGCGATAGCGTTAAAGCTGCCTCTGCTCCGGTGGGTTGTAGAACCAACTCTTAGCTGACCATCCAGGTTTACAGAGGCAGTTTAATCGCACGAGAAGGGAGTGCTTGTCTTTCTTCCACGGAACAGCTGGTGAATTTGAACCACGTGCCTTTGGGGCTGCAGTGCTCAAAGGCATCAATTCTTCTAGCATCATGTATTTATAATCAATTCTTCTTCTCTCATCATGTGTTTATAATGAATAATTTGTTGGTTTTGAAAAATCCTCACATGGGATGCCCAGCATCATTTCAGCATCGTTGCTGCAAACCTGAAGGCACTGGGCTCGAATCTACAAGCTGCTCTGTGGGAGAGAGATGGGCAATCTCCCTTGTGATTACACTGTCTCTGAAAACCTGCTGGAGGGTCAGATGTGAGTCGGTTCTGACTCAGTGGTCCACAACTGAGCCTGAAGTTCTCCTCCAATTATATTTTATGTGCTTTATTCCCTGAGTGGCTTATTTTCTTTCTTAAAATTTATTTATTTATTTTTTAGCTGCTTATTTTTCTAGTGTTGTGTCAGACAGTATTCTGCTGTGATTCATCAGATTTTCTCTGGTCAGTTTTTTCAAAAGTAGTTTGGCAAGTCCTCCTTAGTCTGGAAGCTCAGCTGACAGTACCATGAGTGACCTGCTGCTAGTTGATACCCCAGTGAAATGCCAAGTGTGTAACCCTGTAGTATAACGCTGTTAGTCTGGAGAAGTGTCTTCTTCATTTAGTTTTGCATCTCTGGTCTTCTCTTCTATAAAGTGATCACAGAAGTATGATGGCCCCTGTAGGATTGGTGAGCTAGGATTGGGGGCGCTCATAGCAAGCTCTGGTGGCCTAGACAGAACAAGCTGCACTGCAATCCCAAAGGCACGGGGTTTGAATCCTCCAGCTGCTCCATGGTAGAAGGATGGGCAATTTACAGCCTCTCAAAACCAACTGAATGGTCAGGTATGGGTTGGTTCTGACTTGACAGCACACAATAACAACAACATAGGATTCGTCAGAAGATGGAAAGAGGGAGCATTATGTGAACCTCCCAGTAAGTGGTTGGCACAGAGTTGATGCCCTTAGTATGGGCCAATGTTCTGCACTATCTGTATGAGGGGGAAGGTGCCCTTGCCTTGGGCTCCATTAGACAGAGCTCCCAGACGTCTGGAGAGCTCCTTTCTCTTCTAGTTTATCAACCAGCCAAGTAAGTACTCTAACTTTCCCTGTGGGGATTTCCTGACCTTGCCAGTCTGAAACTTCTCTCTTCTCCCAAGGCCGTGGAAGAACTCCTGCAGACCCTGGACTTAGAGAAGAAGGCAGTGGCCGTGGGACACAGCCAAGTGAGTAGAAATTGTTTCTAAGGAAAGTGTTCATCACAAGCAAAACTGAGTTCTTGTCCTCGCTCCATTGTATCTTTCCCTTAAGTGTATTCTTCTCACCAAACTAATACTTTTATGTTCTGTCTTTGAGAATGCCTTGGAGCGAAAAGGCTCTAACACAGAAAGAAATAATGTTGGACTATGTTGCCTGTCTGAGTTAACATTCTCCAGGACTTGAGTGGTTAGGAATAGTTAATGTTCTGGTTCTTAGGAGACTTGGAAAGTGTGACCATGAAACCTTGGAAAAACCACTCCAGAATTAATTCACTTGATGTCTCTGAACTTTTACTTTGAAGCCAACTGCAACACAGCTAGGACCATAGTTGATCAGAATAAAGGAAGGGATCTAAGAAAAGATATGAGGTTCCTGGTAGAAATGGTTTAAACTCAACTACTACCCAAAAGGTTGATGGTTTGAACCTGCTGAAGGGCACCATGGAAGAAAATACTGGAGACCAATGTCCATAAGATGATAGCCACTGGGGGAGGAGGTAGAAGGTGGCATATTCTTATTAGAAGTTACCTTTCCCAAAGCTGGTATTCAGCCATACACTTTAAAAAACTATTTAGAGTTTGAGAAGATAATTTCACACAATCTTAACACACTCATAGATCTCTGAGTTTCAAGAAGGGAAAATACGGTATTTAGAGTTTCCTGAAATTATTTTACTTAAAGAAAAAACAAACCCTCAAACTAGGGAACTCTGATGTCGAGTCCATAAGGAATTGTGCTGTTAACTCAAAGGCTGCCTGTCTCTGGCAGTTCGAATCTACCAACTGCTCCTCGGGAGAAAGAGGAGTAATCTAGTCTGGTGTGATTTACAGCCACTGGCATTTAGTCAGAAGAGACAAATCCCTCTGAGAAAATACATAATACTGGGAAAGGTGGAAAGTTACTCAGAGAGGAAGGACCCTCCAAGAGGTGGATTGACACAATGACTTGAACAATGACCTTGAGTATGAGGGAGATTGTGAGGCTGGCGTAGGATAGGGCAAGATTCTGATCTGTTGTTCAAAGAGTTGCTTTGAGTCATCATCAACTCAGCGTCACCTAATTAACAACAGGCTATTTGAAGTCCAGCCAGGATGGTCTTCAGAGATGAAGATGTTGAGATTTTGTCACACATGTTCTTGGCATGTTGTCAGGTAGGAAGGGCCTGTCCTGAGAGAAGGACATCATGCTTAGAAAGTGGAGGGCCAGCAAAAGAGAGGAAGATCCTCAATTAGATGGATTAACACAGTGACTTGTGAGAATGGATTTGAGCAGAAGAGGGATTGTGAGGATGGCGCAGGATCAGACAGGGTTTTGTTCATTGTACATAGGGTCGCTACAAATGGAACTCACTTGATGACACCTTCAACAACAAAAATACTATCTGACCTTGGAGCCTTCATCCTTCTGTGTTTAAAAACTCATTATGATCTCCTGGAATTAGTGACTCGAGGTTAATAATTTGGGAAATGGAGCCCAGAAGTCTTAAAGTCAAGGACCACGTGGTGAACGGTGATGGTGGTGGGGTAACAACATTTAGAATTACAAACTGGAAAAGAGAGACAAAAGGCAGTAGCTGGTCCATCTTGTTAATTCCTGAGTCATTCAAGTCCCTTGGTAAACCTATTTTGATAGTCGTGCACCTCCAAATACTAGGATTGGCCCTGTTCCCCAAACATAAGAGTAGTTGTGTTCTTGGCCATTTTCATCTTTGAAGCTCTGAGTCTTCTGCTCCACCAGGCCTCTCCAAACGCAGGTTTGGTTTTTCTTGTGTTTTGTTTTTTTCTGGAAGAACTCAAGATTCTTAAACTCCACCCTCCCACCATCTCATCCTAAATCTTCTAATGTCTTCAACACCGTAGGTCTTGCCAAGGGAATAGAGCCACTATTTTATTGAGGCTGCTTTTCTATTTGTGGGCTCACTTCCATTTCTCCCGCCTGGAGGGGACAGCATCAGGACCTTTGCAAAACTTTACATTAGAGAAGCGGTACCTGTCAGTTCCTGGGCCAGGGGCTGTGCTGTGCTGCACCTTCACATATTGTTCCCTATAGTCCCCATCACCCTGTCCAACAAGAGCACTTGTGTACCCCTAATTCCTGGCTCCCTGGGAAGTAGCCCCCTATTCACACTCTTACAGGGGGGCTAGAGGTACCATTCTGTGCCCATCTGTGTCTGGCCAAGTCCCATGATCCTTTCAATATGCCATAGTTCCACTGTTTATTAAATGGAAATACAGAACACGTTCTTAACACACAGGCATGTGCTAACATTCGGGAACTTTATTTCATCTCCAAAAAATTAATTCCGCTTGTCTAACTGTTGTCAAAATGCGGCCAGCAGGATGGGTGGAAATACAAATAATCAGGTCCCACGTCCAATTTACTCAACTGGAAACACAAACGATCTGGTCCCACCCCCCCAATTTATTGAACCAGAAGCACGTGGTCCCATTGAACCAGAAGCACAAGTGTTCAGGACCATCTTCTTACTAATTGAACCGGAAGCATAGATAACCTGGTCCCACCCCCGGTTTATTGAACCAGAAGAACATGGTCAGGTCCCCCACTCACAACCTACTGAACCGGAAGCATAAGTGATCTCATTTCCCCCCCCCCCTTCTTACTACCTGAACCGGAAGCACAAGTGATCTGGTCCTGGGCATGCCTACTGAACCGGAAACACAAATGAGCAGGCCCACAATGTCTTCCTACTGAACCGGAACCACAAGTCATCAGCTCTCTTTGACCACTCCCCACCTATGGAACGGGGACGCATGTGCTAGGTTAATTCCGGAGAGGACTCCAAGTTTGATGATCATTGGTTTATGTAATGTTATTTTAATGAAAAAAGTCCACCATTATGAGCCTAATAGTTATTGTAGAGCAAAGAATATAAGAGATAAAGGAATCTGTACCCACAGTTTCACTACCTGCAGGCTCTGGAAGTTATAAACATCTATCCCAGTAATAAACTTTATTATTAGTTACTAGGAGTTGACAGCCAACAGTGTAGAGAAAATCAAGGCTAATCTATCGTTGGAAACATCTGCTGTCCCTGACTCACAGAAGGCGAGGATCCTGGAAGGAAATGCTACCCTGCCCTGTGTCAAGACATGGTGTGCGGTGTGGGTCAGATCGTGGTGGCCCATAGGGTTTACCTGGGTTAATATGCAGCGCTGAATCACCAGGCCTTTCTTCCTTGTCCATCTTAGTCTGGAAGTTCTGCTGAAGTCTGTCCAGCCTCATCACAGATGCTCCAGTGATGGGATCACCAGGCCTTTCTTCCTTGTTCCGTCTTAGTCTGGATGCTCTGCTGCAGTCTGTCCATATTCATCACAGATGCTCCAGTGATGGGGTCATCAGGCCTTTCTTCCATGTCCTTAGTCTGGAAGCTCTGCGGCAGTCTGTCCAGTTTTATCATATATGCTCCAGTGATGACCAGGACATGGCTGCCATGAGAGTTGGCTTGGACCTGAACCTTGGTCTTGAGCACAGAAAGAAAGATTCCCAGCACTGAGGCTTAACGTCCTATGCATTGCAGGGTTTAATGCTTCCTAGGGGAAGACCAAGAAGCCCAATGACAGGCTGTCGAGTCAAATACGACCCATGAACAACAGAACTGTATCCTGTTCTACCCTGTGCCATCCTCACATCTCCTGACATAAGACCTACTGCTTTCTAAATCTGAGCCTTGAACCTCCATTTCTCCATCACTAAAATGGAGCTGTATTACCTCCGTCCCAAGTTTGTTGTGGGAATCAGTACATTTTCATTGTTTGAGGTTGACTGAATACACGTGCCATTAAGGCAAGATGCCTATCAAATCATGTTTAAAACCTTAAACTCCTCTAACTTGTAAAATTAAGATTCCTAGGTGATCCCAGTAGTTTATACTCAACTGCTAACCTCAGAGTTGGCAGCTCAAACTCATCCAGTGTCACTATGGAAAAAAGATCTAGTGACCAGTGGGTCACTGTTAAGATTACAACCAAGAAAACACTTGGAAGCAGTTCTCCTCTGCCTCATATAGGGAGGGTCACTGTCTTAGTTAAATAGTGATGCTTTAACAGAGCCCAAGAGGAATGTTTTAACAAACAGAAAGGTCGTCTCTCATCATACAGGAATCTAGAAGTCCAAATTCAGGTGCCAGCTCAATGGGAAGGTCCTTTTTTCTCTAGTTTCTCTAAGAAGGTCCTTTTATCCTCAGCATCTTTGAGTCTGGTGACATCCTTTGGACATGTTTTCAGGAAGGGCTGGGCTTTCCCATTGAAAGAGAAAGAAAGAAAGAAAGACCCTCCAGGAGATGGATTGACACTGTAACTGTACCAATGGCTTAAGTGTGATGGGGACTGTAGGGATGTTGTGGATAGGGCAAGACTCCAATCTATTGTTCATAGGGTCAACTTGATGATATCTAACATGTGGCTTGCTTTTATCTGGTTACAAGGCATTTTCCCAGTGTAGGAGCTCGAATCCAATAGGGTGCACTCCACTCCTGGCATCTCTTCCTTGGTGGTATGCAGTCCACCTTCTGGGCTTGTTTTCTTCTGCTGAAATAAAAGATGCGGTAGGTCACGCTCTAGAGAAATAGCCTTTACATTTGTCAGGACTGTGATGGGATTTAGGGTATCTCATTCCATTCTTAATCCTCTTGGTTGATGAGCTGATGGCAGATCATGACATACCTATATCATTGGAGGTGGAGAACGACACACAATTTAATGCATGACAATCACCATGACTCAGTGGCCATTGATGACAGCAGTGACCTATCAGAGTACCAATAGGAGAGGACCCTGTTCCTCAGCGGGACCAGATAAGGGTTCCATGGTCCTATCAGAGTTTTAAAAACTGGCTTTCTTTATTTTCAAACAGAAAAATAGCCAACTTGCATGGACAGGGCCTCAGAGGGCTCTTTAAAGGAGGGCTGTTGGTGTGTTCGTCTCTGCATGGGGCTGATAGGCCGCTGGACCCATGGAAAGCAGATGATTAGATATTTCTTTGTGATTTTCAGCCCCTTGGCACCTGACGGAGGCCCGTGCTAAGGGCTGTGACATTTATCACAAAAGTGTGATTCTACATGTAACCAGGCTTCTAGTGGCAATTTACTCAGAGAAGGAAGAGAAGAGGAGAGAAAAAGATAAGATTCTAAATTCTGAAGAGGTGATGGCTTATTCCCATTCTGTGTATGGTCATTTCCAATTATCTTTTTAATGAAAGCTTCATACTTAATCAATAGCTATTTTGGCAGCACCCACCCTCCTTTCTTTTATAATATACAAACTGGGCTGTCATCTCCTTGATCATTGATTTTTCTTTTTCTAATGGTATCTGTGGGGGACTCCCCAGCTTGTGAGATGAATGCGGCTCTTACTGAGGCCACCTGATAGGCTGTGAGTCAATCCTGTCTTTATTTTCACGAGGCTAATTGTGGTGACCCTGGCTGTTCGGAAGTGTTCTCCCAAACAGAGTTAATATCGATCAGAGATGATGAATTTCATTTTCCCCTGAGAATAGGGCTGGGCCCTGGGGTTGGCTGGGGAATCTCCATTACTGAAAATAGTTTGAGGGTAATGAGGAATCGATTGAACCCTTTGTTCCACCTGGAATCAAATGGCAATCAAGCTTTGGATGTTCGTATCAGAATGAATAAGGAAAGGACGCTCATGTTGGCACTGGGACGGGATGCAGGAGATAAGCCCAAGGTCCTTCCAACCCAAGGTTCATGTGTTAGCTGTATTTACCACCCACTGGGTCACTATTAAACAGTTGCACACCCTATCTTGTGCCGTTATGCCCTCAGGTGACACACACAGCTGACTTTTAGTTAGTTACCTCAAAGGTGACCAGTTTGAACCCACCATTGACATCGTTTATCATATTCCACCAAGTTGGAAACAACTCAGAGCTGACCATCCAGTGGGTTTTGAGAGGCTCTAAATCACATGAGAGGAGGCTGCCAATCTTCCTCTCACAGAAGCAGAAGGCAGATTTGAACTGTGTACCTTAGGATTGGCAGCATGATAGTGAGTTATCAGCTTCTGTTAAAAACTGTGTTGTAGGTATTCTCAACTATCTGCCAACCCATCTCTACTACAGGATGAACTGGCATCCGGATCCTGAAGCATACTCACTCACAGTCATTGCAGCCAGGGGCTCCTTCAATAATTTAGACTCATTATAAGATCACCACTTACCAGGAGCCATTGGGTCAAGTTGGATTCATGGTGACCCTTGGGTGTGTGTCTGGTTAGGAATGTGGTCCATAGGGTTTTCAGTGGCTGACTGATAGGAGGTGACTTCCAGGTCATTTTTCTGAGGTGCCCCTGGGAGACTTGAACCACTGATCTTTCTGTTAGCGGCTGAGTGCATGAACTATTCGCATGACCCATAATTGAGACTGATGGCAATCCCAACGCATTGTGGGGTAGAACTATCTATGGGATTTTATTGGCTCTACTCTCCAGAAGCTGATTGCCAGGTGGGTTCCCCCCACACCATGGCCCCTCAAAGTGGGTTGCAACCTCTAGCTTTTAGGTTAATGTTGTTTTTGTCGTTGTTAGATACCAAGTTGGTTCTGACTTATAGTGAGAATCATGGACAACAACAACAATGAAAATACACTGCCCGGTCCTGTTTTGGCCTCCTAACCACTGCCATTTTGGCTTACGGCTGTCGCCAAAAGAGATGGCACATTGTCTGTCCATCTCGTTGAGGGTCTTCCTTTGTTATCACTGACCCTTGACTTTTCCAAGCACGATGTCCTTCTCCAGGGACAGGCCCTGCTTGACAACATCCCTCATGTAGGTGACACACGCTCTCACCATCCTTGCTTTGAAGGATCATCCTGGCTGTATTTCTTTTTAGATAGATTTGTTCTTTTCACCAACAGTCCATGTGCATTCAGTATGTTGTTGTTGTTGTTGTTGTTAGGCGCTATGAAGTTGAGGACAACTCATCATGCCCCTGTAAGCAATAGCTCTGAACCCTGTGCTGGCCTGTGCCATCCTCGTCACCTGTGACATCCTTGAGCCCATCGTGGCAGTCACTGGAGTGGTTGTTCCTTGGGAAGGGACATCATGCTTGGAAAGGTGGAAGGTCACGGAAAGAGAAGAAAACCCTTCAGGAGATTAAGTTAGTCGTTAAACAGCTCCCATCCCTCAGGGACCCTTTAAAAGCCACTCGATGCAAATACTGAGGGCAGAGGCAGAGGAAAGAGATCTGAGCTGCAACCACTTCTCTACAAATAACCGCTTCCCTGGGGGTGTCTCGCATCTCTTCTCCTTCCAGGTTTTCCTCAAGGCGGGAGTGGTCTCCAGGCTGGAGAGGCAGCGGGAGAAGCTGGTGTCTCAGAGCTTGGTGCTCTTCCAGGCCACCTGCAAGGGCTTCCTGTCTCGCCAGGATTTCAAGAAGCGTAAGGTAAGGTACAGAGGTCAGCGAGCCAGGGGAGCAAGGCAGAGGGTGAGGTTCTAGAAAAGCACCGTCTTTGCTGGCCCGTGGGGCTGTCAGCCACGCTGCTCACCCACACTCTTGCATGTAGAGCCCTTGAGGCGGGTGCCCCCCATGTGGGCTCTGATGCCTTGAGTCTGGAGTGGAGCTGGCATCTCATCGGCTCCTGGATGTTGCCAGTGCTTTGAACTCATAGCTAAGTGCGTAGCTCTCATGCCACCAGGGCTCCTCATAGTTCAAGCTTGTCAAGTTTGAGTCGGAACCAGCTGAACCTCGGGCACATTTTCAGAGGCAATAAATCACACGATAAGAGATTGCTTATCTTCCTCACTCAGAGCAGCCGGAGGATTTGAACTGTCTGCCTTTGGACTTGCGGTACAATTTCCTAGTCATTATACTACTTTAAAAAAATTGTTGTTCAACAACAAAAGTTTCACACCCTGTCTTGTGCCATTGTGCCCCCACGTGACACACACAGCTGACTTTTAGTTAGTCACCTCACAGGTGGCCAGTTTGAACCCACCATTGACATCATTCATCATGTTGTACAAATGGAACTGTCTCGTAGCTGACCGTCCAGTGGGCTTTCAGAGATTGTAAATCACACAGGTGATGACTATCCATCTTTTTCATTGGAGCAGCTGGTGGATTTGAACTGCCCACCTTGGGGTTACCAGCATGACTCCCTATTACCTTTTTTTTAATTAAATTTTATTAATTTTAATGAACATTTACAGAGATTTGGGGTTTCCATTCATTCATTGTTGTACTATTTTCTCTACTCTCTTCCCCAGTTCGTTCCTCTTCCCCCCCCCCTTGAATGTCTGTTTTAATTGTCCAGTTGCCACAGTGCTTGTCAAAGCCAGTTCTGATTAATCTCCCTTGTCAGTGTGTCCTTTGCCATTCCCTATCACTCCTCCCTGAGAGAGACTTCACCCTGATTCATAAGGAAAAGGGGACGGCGTATTCTCTTAGCTACTTCCTACTGAAAAGGGACGCTGTGGGTTTCAGGGTGAAGATCTTCTCTCTCTACTCTAAAGGGCCCCTTTGGCAGTAGGAAACACATAGACTTTATGGAGATTGATTTTGGAATTTAGATTCACTGTTATCAATTGTGCTTAGCTGTACATGTTCATATCCTTGAAGATGTATCATGGAAGTGTTGCACCCTAGAAGACAAAATTTAACAAGTTAAAAGTACATGAGTCAAAAATTAAAAAGCAATAATATATATTACCTTTTTAGTAGTATACTCTGGTGGCCTTGTGGTAAAAAGCCGCACTGCAATCCCAAAGGCATGCAGTTCGAATCCCTCAGCTGCTTCACGGGAGGATGGGCAGTCTCCTTCTGTGTGATTTACTGCCTCTGTAAACCCATGGGAGGGTCAGCTGTGGGTCGGTTCAGACTCAACAGTGCACAACAACAACTACAATACCCTCTTTGCCTCCCTCAGCTTCCCCTCTCCCTTCCCCCCTCACCCAGCTGGGCAAAGACCCACCTCAAGCGTCTCCCTCTTCCCCCTGCAGATTCAGCGCCTGGCTTCCCAGTGCATTCAGAAGAACGTGGCTGTGTTCCTCGCGGTCAAAGACTGGCCATGGTGGCAGCTCCTCGGTTCCCTCCGGCCCCTGCTGAGCGCCACCGTTGGAGAGAAGCAGCTGAGAGCCAAGGAGGTGTGTCACAGGGCAGGCAGGGCGTTGGGTGGCCGCTCCCTTCCTCCCCAGCTCAGTACTTACGTCTGGAACCCAGTGCCTTCCATTGACTCAAACTTCTTCATTCAGAACACATCCCATGCAGATATGATGCAGCTCCCATTGGGCCAGTTTATCCTCTGCTTCTTGGGCCACTAGACCCGCATTTTCAACAGTGATAACTGACCAGTAGCTTTGCTTGTGCTACGGAGACTCCACAGAGGAAATCCACGATTGCTTAAAAGGAAAAAGAATCCATTAGGCACCCAGACCAGGCCTTAGCCTTTGAGTGGATTCCAACTCGTAATGTCCCTTCACAGCCGAGTAGAGCTTCTCCAGAGGGTTTCACGATTGGAAGTTTATAAAGGTACAGGCTTCCACATCTTTCTCCCTCAGAACAGCTGGCAGATTCTAACTGTGTATCTTTCTGTCAGCAGCTGAGCACTTGAATACTGTGCCACCAGGCTCCTTTGGTGGCTTACTGGTAAGGAGTTGTGCTGCCAACTCAAAGGCACACAGTTCAAATCCAGCAGCTGCTCCGTGGGAGAAAGATGGGCAGTCTCCTCCTGTATGACCTGCTGCCTCTGAAAACCCACCAGAAGGTCAGCTCTGAGTCAGTTTTGACTCCACACTACATAACAAGAGCAATAATATTAGAGGTTATCGGCCTTGTGGCAAAAAGCTGCACTGCAATCCTGAAGGCACACGGTTCGAGGCCACCAGCAGCTCCACTGGAGAAAGACGCGCAGTCTCCTCTCATGGAGTTAACTGCCTTTGAAAGCCCGCTGGATGGTCAGCTATGGATCAGTTTCGACTCTTTGCTATACAACAGCAACAACAATTTTAAAATAAAATTTATCCCTGGTTGTTTGGTTTTGGTTTTGTTTTTTTAATTTAAGTCTCTTGTTTAGAGTCAGCAAGACCTCAGGGAGGGCCTTAATATTTAAAGTTGGTTGTTATTATATTTTGGAGGAACATTCTTCTAAGTAGCGCAGCACTCTTCTGTCAATATGCTGTGCTGAGGTAACCTGGGGTGGTTGTGATGCTGAACCTTGGGCCATTGGAGTGTCAGATGCAATAACAGTTACCCATGGTGGACAGTGTTTGGTGGAGCTCCAAGTTTAAGACAGTTTTGGATGCAGGAGTGGCATCCACTTCCTAAACAACATGCCTTTGGAAACTATGAACTTGTAGAAATGACTATAGTTATAGAAAGGCTTCAGGCCTTTTGTTTATAGGGTCACTATGAATTGTGCTTGACTCAATGGCAATCAACAACAACCACCACCTAGAATGTATTACGCTTCCATTCTCCACCTGCCTGGTTCAATTCTACTGCTCAAAACTACTCTTACCACAAATGGTGCATACAACCAGGACCACTTTGTTTCCAAACGCCTTCTAATTAAGTACTTGCTTTTGCAGGAGGAGCTTACAGCACTGAGAAAGAAGCTTGAGAAATCAGAGAAGTCGAGGAATGAGCTCCGGCAGAACACAGACCTGTTAGAGATCAAGGTATTGCAGGTTCCTGTGGGGTGGGGGCCGCTGAAGGAGGAGAGCAGCATTTTACCTGCTGCCGGCTGAGCATGTCAGAGCATCCGCAAACCACCCCTGTGAGGGCGGTGATGAGATTGCACCCATTGGACAGAGCCAGAAACCGAGGCCCCGGGAGCTTGGCTGGGACTCAAACCTGTGTCATCTGGTTCCAAAGGGAAGCAGCTCTTAAATAAGTCACAAAAGCAGAAATCTCCATAGGGGGAAAGTGATACAATTGGATGTATAAAAGTAAGAAGCCTCTGTTTACCACTACATGGACTAGAGACCCAGTCTCCATACTTGGAGAAGTTTTACAACCTGTACAAATTACAGACAGAATCCAGCACATATGAATGATAAAGAAAACGCAACACTTATAAATCACAAAGGGGATTCTTTGTCATTCGCAACACATGTAGATGATCAAAACAATCTAGCATATGTCAAGAACTTCCTGAGATCAATTAGAAAAAGACAAGCACTCCAATAAGAAAGAAAAAAATGGGCAAAACATATGAACAGACAGTTTCTAAGGGAGGAACTCGTGTTTCAGGAGTGCAGATGTTCAGTTCCTCAGATGGACAGTAGATTTAGGCAAAGATGCTAGTCCACATGTTGTTGGTGGTGGTGGTGGTAGGTGCCCTCAAGTCAGCTGTGACTTCCAGCGACCCTGTGAACCAACAGGTCTGAACCCTGGCCTATCCTTTGCTGTCCTCCTCATTGCTGACATACATGAGCCTATTGTTCCGGTCACTGTATTGATACATCTCATTGAGGGTCTTCCTCTCTTTCCCTGACCCTCCACCTTTCCAAGGTTGATGTCCTTTACGAAGGAGCTGCAGTCAGGAAATACAATACCATGTTAGGTACCATTTCACAAGTTAAAAAAGAGGTAAAAAAACCCCAGCCCTCTCCCGCGCCTTCTCCGCTCTGGCCAAGTCATGACAAGAATGCTGTAGCTGTGGGGACTTTCCTACGCTGTCAGTGGGGTGTGCCTTGATCTCACTGAACAATGGAGCTTTGTCTATGGCAGTTGAAGCTGTAATTGCCTCATGACCCAACAATCGCATCCCTAAGCATATGCATTAGAGAATTCCCCCTCCCTGGCTGCAGGAAACGATAAGACAGTCATTGCGACAGCATTTCCTCCCCACCCCATGTTGCATTAGACACCTGAATGGGAGTTAATAGTAGGAACAGAGGAACACATTTTTAAATATTGTGGTTTGAGTCAAAATTCACAAAGCATATTGAGTTTCTGCAAGCAAACATGCTTGCACATTTTGTTCCATAATATCAATTACAATACACACACCTTGTAACGTTGACATTTAAGTTGCCAATACGAATGGAAATGAAGAGGGGCAAAGTGCCAGTCGGAGTCAAAAAAATTGTTCTTCAGTGCTGTTGAGTAAACTTGGACTTGAAATAAACAATGTTTAATGTAACACGGGGGGAAGAAAACCCTGGAAATTAATGCAAAATATCAACAAAATAGCAAAATTTTGAGCAGGTGTCAGAGCTGTGGGTCATTGTTATGGTGGTGGGAAGATCGATCATGGCATCTTCCTGATGCGTTTGATCCAGTTTCCCTCTCTGTTCTCCCCTCAAAAGAGATTATGGTTAAGGTTCACCTTCCTCTGATAATGACATAACTGACAGCATCTTCAAATAAAGACAGTTTTCCCTAAATGAAGTCTCTTACCAAATTGCACTGGGAAAATCCGTGGTCAGGGACCTTGCCAGAGTACTGAGAAGCAAAGATTTCTGGAGACCAAGATGTGCCTGGTCTTTGCAATTTCTTGTTATATGCTTCAGAGAGCTGGGTAATGACTAAGGATAACAGAAGAAGAATCAATGCCTTGGAGTTGTGGTGCTGGAGAAGAGACTTGACTGCCAAGAGGACAAACATGTCTGTTCTAGAGAGGATGAAACCAAGTTTCTCCTTGGAGGCAAGGATTTTGAAGCTCTGTGTCACATACTTTGGGAACATAGCCAGGAGGGAACGATCCTTGGAGAAACAGCGCAGGAAAGGAAGACCCTGGATGAGAGGGATTGACACAAGGGGTGAGTGAGAGTGTGCTAGTCGGTGAGTCTGGCTCAGGATGGGACAGGCTTCAGAGCTGTTGTCACAGGCGAGTCAATGACATGTAACAACAGCAACCACCACCACCACCACCACCCTGGTTGTTGTTGTTGTTGTTGTTATGTGCCGTCGAGTCGTTTCTGACTCATAGCGACCCTATGCACAACAGCCCTAAACCCTGCTCTATCCTGTGCCAACCGCACCGCCTCTGACACACCCATCCCAATTACCCCAGTCACTGAATCAATCCACCTCATAGAGAGTATTCCCCTCCTGCTCTGCCCCTCCACCCTCCCAAGCATGATGTCCCTCTCCAAGGACCCGTCCCTCCTGGCAACATGTCCAAAGTATGTCAGACGAAGCCACAGAATCCTTACCTCCAAGGAGTAGCTTGGTTTAATCCTCTCCAAGATGAATCTGTTTGTTTTCCTGGCAGTCCATGGTACATTCAGTACCCTTCTCCAGCACCACAGCTCAAAAGCATCCACTCTCCTTCTGTCCTCCCTAGTCATTGTCCAACTCTCTGATGCATAACAAGCGATTGCAAAGACCATGGCCTGTATCAGGCGCACCTTAGTCTCCAGAGAGACACCGTTGCTCCTGAGTACCTTAGAGAGGTCCCTAACAGCAGACTTTCCCATCGCGATATGCTTTTTGATTTCCTGACTGCTGGTGCCAAGAGTGTTGACTGTGGAGCCGAGCAAACTGAAACTGTGAACACTCTCAATCTCTTCGTCATCCATTCTGACGCTGCCAATTGGTCCAGTGGCGAGAATCTTTGTCTTCTTGACATTGAGCCTCTGTCCATACTGAAGGCTGCAGTCCTTGACCCTTCGCAGCAAGTGCATGAGGTCCTCCTCAGTTTCAGCAAGCAGGGTTGTGTCATCTGCATAACGGAGATTGTTAATAGATCTTCCACCAATCCTGATGCCACATTTCTCCTCATAGAGCCCAGCCTCTTGGATAATCTGCTCTGCATATATGTTGGTACAGGAGTGAAAACCTTAACATATCTCTTGGGAGATACCATTCAATCCTGAAAGGTCCCTTATCCCAAGGGTGGCTGTGTCTACAGAGAGGTTAGAATGCTGAGCTTCGCAGATGCGTTCCCTCTTGTTCAGGGCTCCAGAGAACCAACTTCTTAAGCTCTCTGGCTGCAAGCAGCAACCAGCAGAGCAACAGCATTGAGAAGCTGGAAATACTCGCTGGGCATCTCTATGGCCACTCTGTGGAGATCCTTACTCTCGAGCTGATGTTTGACGCAGTCATCAGCTGAGAGCTGCCAGGAGCTGGGGGTTCATGATCAGTTAGCTGCTGGGGCAGCTCTGTAGAGAGGGATGAAGATGAACAGCCTCTGAGCCCACATCTCCTTGTGTGGGAACCTGGGGAAGGAGCAGAGGCATTCCTGGCTTCTGAGAACTGGACCAAGCAAAGAAGAATGGGAGCTGGCGTCTAGTGACTTTTCTGTCGAGATTCTTAGTGTCTCTGTATCACTGAGATACAAAGCAGCTTGAGTGCTCTTTGGAGGCAGGAAGGAAGAGGCTTCGCCTCACATACTTTGGGCATGTTGCTAGGAGGGGCTGTTCCTTGGAGAGGGACATGATGCTGGGAAGGGGGGAGGATCAGCGAAGGAGAGGAAGACCCTCAACCCACAATACTACAATGGGCTCTTGTGTGTCAGGAAGTGTGAAGACGGTGCAGGATAGAACAGGGTTCACATCATTTGTTCATTATGAGTTGTACTTGACAGCTTGACAGCATCTGACAACAATATCATTGTTGTGTGTGTGTGTGTAAATATATATATATCTATAGATAGATAAATAGATCTTTATATATGTATATCTACACACACATATATATGTGTGTATAGATGTATGTATAGATATGTATGTATGTGCGTGTATATGTATAGATATGCATATATATGTATGTGTGTGTATCACTGATATGTATATATTTTTTTATATGTTTTTTGTTGTTGTGTGCCATCAAGTTGGAACTGACACATAACTGACCCTCCAGTGGGTTTTCAGAGGCAGTTAATCACATGGGAGGAGATTCCTATCTTTCTCCTTTGGAGCACCTGATGACCTCGAACCGCGTGCCTTTGGGGTTGAAGCGCAGCTTCTTGCCACTAAGCCACCTGCTGTATGAAGACTCTGACCTGTTCTTCCCCTCTCTGCATCCAATGGCATGACCCGTGTCCGCGTCCTAACTTTGAGACCCCCAGGGCAAGAAGGCTCCATGCATCACACCATTCCTGACCCTAGCCCAGAGGAGATGCTCAGGGTGCCTATTTGCATGGTGGCTGTAACCCTCGAAAGCCTGCAAATCCGACATTGAGATTCCTAGGTAGCTTGGTGGTAAAGAGTTGGACTGCATACGGTTTGAATCTACACTTTGAGAAAGATAAGTAATCTCCTCCTGTACAATCTCCTGCCTCTGAAAACCCACTGGTGATTCAGCTATACATCGATTCTGACTCCACAGTACATAACAACAACTCCTACATGATTGTGGCTAACTGTTGTACATTCTCGTTACTGCTGATTCAGACTGGTGGGTATAATATTTTCCATCTCTGTTACCTTGAACTGTTCTCTTCTCAGTGACTTCCTTTCCCTCCCTCACTTGCTCTGATTCCCCTTTAGTCCATCCCCGCTTCCTCCTCACCGTTTTACATCCCTGAGATTGAGACTTGCTTTTACACAACAGTGGTGCAACCAACAATAGAAAACCCACCATCTTACAATACCTCAGTCAAAAGGGCTGTCCTTTTAAATCTAGCTCCTGTGGTCTAAGTGGTAAGAAACCGTGCTGCAATCCCAAAGGTGCACAGTTCAAACCCACCAGCTGCTGCTCAGGAAAAGGATGGGCAATCTCCTCCTGT